ACAAGTCCATAGGAGGGGAAATATATACCGAACATAATTTTTAGACTGGTAGCAGGGAGCAAATATACATAACATAAAAAGAAAACATCAATTATGTGTAATAAATAAACCTAATGAATACGTTAAACAGTGTTAACGAATGTGAAAAGCAGCCTATGTTGTCGTCTTCCATCAACAATCAACATTAATAACGAGAGTATAGAGTAGAGAATTATACGCAGTAACACTTATATACATCGTGGAGTCATTAGCATCGTGGTATCGGATAAATACAAAATTAACAAAGCTAACATTGAATAAAGCCATAGATATATCTCTGTATTCTTATTTATTCAGATGTCCGATCATACCTCATGAACCCTTTGACCGATTTGCCTCACATTTTGATTACGGAAAGTTGAGTAGGTTTACTTTTATAATGGAAAATAGGTAACATCGTAGTTTACGACCAAGTGTGGGTAAACGGCAGGAAGGAGTAACTATGAGTAACCCGGGCTACGCTGGGTTTTCAAGTAGTAATCTCTGTTTGTTTGTGTGTCCAAAAATCATGACCGATTTGCTTCAAATTTTAATTGAGGAACCCGGAAATGTTCTTAACTTAGTCTGACTTTAGTTTAGTTTAGTTTCAAGGTAAAGCTGGGTCCCCAAATAAGTCGATGACAATGTTAAGGAGATTTAAGAAAGTATAGTAATGTAGAAAAGAGAAAGAAAGGAAAGGAATTTAAAAGAGAAAAAAGGGAAGGAAATAAAAAAATACGAAAGGAAGGGAAGAAAAGTTGACGAGGAAAAGAAAGGGAAGAAAAGTATACGAGGAAAAGAAAGGGAAGGAAAGTAGACGAAGAAAATAAAGGGAAGGAAAGTAGACGAAGAAAAAAAGGGAAGGAAAGTAGACGAGGAAACAAAAAAGGGAAGGAAAGTAGACGAGGAAAAGAAAGGGAAGGAAAGTAGACGAAGAAAAGAAAGGGAAGGAAAGTAGACGAAGAAAAGAAAGAGTAGGAAAGTAGACGAGGAAAAGAAAGAGAAGGAAAGTAGACGAGGAAAAGAAAGGGAAGGAAAGTAGACGAAGAAAAGAAAGGGAAGGAAAGTAGTCGAAGAAAATAAAGGGAAGGAAAGTAGACAAAGAAAAAAAGGGAAGGAAAGTAGACGAGGAAAAGAAAGGGAAGGAAAGTAGACGAGGAAAAGAAAGGGAAGGAAAGTAGACGAAGAAAAGAAAGGGAAGGAAAGTAGACGATGAAAAGAAAGGGAAGAAAGTAGACGAGAAAGGAAAGGGAAGGAAAGTAGACGAGAAAAAGAAAGGAAAGGAAAGTAGACCAGGAAAAGGAAGGGTAGAAAAGATGAAAAAGAAAAGAAAGTATAATGTGAAAGCTATAAAAGGTTATATTATGCTAAAATTAGACGAATTTAGTAATTAATTAATCTAATTAATTCCTTGAATTAGTTTAAGCCTGTAGCTAGCAAAATCCGATAAATTATAAACGTGTAAATCTCCCACAAACTTAAAGTACAAGAACAAGGGCAACCAATTTTTTAAAATTTTAGTTACAAAAGGGTTTTATCCCAAGTAACCATTACTTAACCCTCCTGGTTTTGATCCGGGACAATGAAGTTGTATATAAAAATGAGACCACTTTATTATCCCGGCTATACTACTTTATTGTCCTGGCTGGCTTTAATGTATTGTAAATCGTCCCACATCGCCCTTCACTCTTTAGTATAAAAGCATAAAAGTAGAATTATTCTACCTGTTTATTTGCTTTGTTATAATGGCAAATACCAAAAATCCCCCAATCAAATGAACGGAAAATGTGTACTCTGTGTACTGTTTTCTCTGATAGGAATACAAACAAATTCAGCGCTTCCACAATAAATACCGATTCAACTTTGTAACCTCATAACTGTTTTTTATGAGTATGAGGGAGAATATTCTAACCGAATACATAGAAGAAATTCAGAACATTTAGTTATAATTGAAAACATGTAAGAATTCAATCTTACTTGCAATTCACTTTCGCTTAACGTAAATGTAGTTGAACAATTTGACGCATTATATATATGGAGGTTCCTGGTTTAATTTACTTGGTAGTATGGTGGATACCACTTGAGAATTCTAATTTTATCAATCGGACGTCTCCAAGCCAAAACCTGAAGTAAATTGTGAAACCGCGAATATTTCATCAAATACGAAATAAATCAATTAAATCAAAATAGCAAAAAAAAAAATACTGATTAAATCAATTTTGACGTGAGATAAAACGACAGCAAACTGATCACAGTGAGAACAAGAAACTGTGGAATCAGAAGACGACATTTAAACAATATTTTAGCGTTTTACAAAGAAATAGTTTTACCAACAAGTTAAAGTTAAATGAATCTAGCAAACTGCACAATAGCTGTGAATCATGTTCATTGGACTATTACAAGTTACAATGTATAGTCTAAAAGTCGTCTTCCTATTCCAGAATTTTATGGTTCTCACTGTAAAAAAGTTTTTTTTTTAAGTTTAGAAAAAGTTTAAGCAAAAAACTCATGAAATATGATGAAATTTAAACTGTTAGACCAAATTAATTAGAATTTTATTCTCAATAATTGGCAGCTGTTCGGTAATCCGTTCATATGCGTCGTAATTAGAATATATTTTATGGAAATAGAATTTAAAAACAGGGGAATTAAGATTTTAAGAAAGGTGGGGGGGGGGGTGTACAAAACCACATTGCCACCTCACACCCCTCTGTACATTATTACCTAAACAGAGTAAGAAAAATTAAATATTTGTGTTATCAAGTCCAAAATGTACTGAATCTTGTCTAAACTGTCAGTGTGATGCACTGGATATAAGTGGTAAAGAGGAGTAAACACCCTTATTTTACTGAACTACTTGAGACTACACAGAAATTTGTCCGAGGGCTCAATTTTTTAAATGGACTACTTGAGACTACACAAAAATTTGTCCGGGGGGCTTAATTTTTTTTACTTTCCAGGGGGGCTCAACACTTGCCCGGGCCTGAAAACCATAGATTTTACTTATCCAGGGGGACCAAGCCGTTATAGCCCCCTTTCCTGTGTACGCCTATGCTAGAGATAGTATAGTTATACTAGGAAATACAGGCTTTAGGTTTTACAATATCAAGTTAACGAATATATTAGCAAATATTATTATAAAAAACCAGTATTAAACTAGGAAGGAAAAATAATACCCCATCCTATTTTTGAAAGTAAAATAAGCTGTTTGGACTTTACTGCTAGTTTTATTATTTCATCTAATAATACTTTTTATTACAGTATCATATTGACGTTAAAATATACTCTGCAATTATATTTTTGTATCTGGAAGGTTACATTAAACAAAACAAAAAACTTTTTACCTTTAAACTAGTTTTGTAGAAACTATGAGCTAATAGGTACTATAAAGTTTATCATACTGTGATCTAATAGGTACCATAATTTATCATACTATGATCTAATAGGTACTATAATTTATCATAGTAGGAGCTAATAGGTACTATAATTTATCATACAATGATCTGATAGGTACTCTAATGTATCCTACTATGATCTAATAAGTGCCATAATTTATCATACTATGATCTAATAGGTACTATTTTTATGATTTTATAAGCTGATTTATATATTGCTTCATTTTTTTATTCAATGCCGATGGTTTTATTTAAGAAATTATTTACATGAATAATCTCCATAAAATAAGTTCCAATTTTTTATTATATTTATAAGATCTGATTCCTATGTAATTTTCATGAACATTCCCAGAAAAGACGATTAAGGTTAGTTTAGAGTGCAAAAATATTGCCTTAGAATCGTAATATATATATAAATTTTCAAAATGTAAGAAATTTTGCATTAGTGAAGTCTTGTTTATAGAACGTTTAAGTATTAAATACCAAATTTCAATTTCAAAAAAGTTTAAAAGAAAGTGAATTAAGTATCGTTATTGCCTCAAAATGGCTGGAACAAAACTTTCCAAATATTCTATTTATTATTGATTCACGGAGTTGATAATTAGCAGAACTCAACATCATTCAGAGAAAAATTGAGCTTGAGCCACTGTTACTGTTTTATCTTTGGCCAGTGTTGAACCTATATTTAAATTAAACCACTTTAAAAGATGTACAACTCTGATTAAAAATTCTCGAAAAATAAATAACTATTTATTATAGAATAGAAGAGAAATTATTTTGAATATCCTTAATTTGATGAGATGTTATTTATCTGAATAAACCAATATTTGTTTGTAATGCAGTCAAGTAGTGCAGTTCTGTTCTCATACTCAACTACAATTCTTCGAGTTCAGTACTATAAAATATACATAGAGGGTTCAGATAAGATATTTGGTTTTATTTCAAACTATTGAAAATAAGCTGATAAATGCATACTTTTCATCAGTTTATTATTTAAAATGAAATGTTACCCAGGGGATTTCCTTGTTCTATTGGTTCTCCTGCATTCCAGGTTCTCCTGTACTTCCGGTTCCCCTATACTCCCCTGGTTCTCCTGTACTCCAGGTTCTCCTGTACTTCCGGTTCCCTTTTACTCAGGTTCTCCTATATTCCTGGTTCTCCTATACTCTTGTTTCTTCTGTACTCCTGGTTCTCCTATACTCCTGGTTCTTCTGTACTTCTAGTTCTCCTGTACTCCTGGTTCCCCCTGTACTCCAGGTTCTCCTGTTCTTCTAGTTCTCCTGTACTCCTGGTTCTCCTGTACTCCTGGTTCTTCTGTACTCCTGGTTCTCCTGTACTCCTGGTTCGCCTGTACTCCTGGTTCTCCTGTATTTCTGGTTCTCCTGTACTACTGGTTCTCCTGTATATCTGGCTCTCCTGTACTCCTAGTTCTCCTTTACTCCTGGTTCTCCTGTACTTCAGGTCCTTCTGTTCCCCGGGTTCTTTACCCGGGTTTTAGTGTCTGCTCCGCGGTTTAGGTTTGAACCGGCGGCCTTAGCTCCAACCTCTGGTTTGAACCAACTTTGCCTAGTTCTTACTCCGAGGTCTTCAACTAAACTTCTCCGGACATATTTCTAAACAGAGAAGACAATTTATCTTAATTATTCCAATTCTGCAAATGTTAAATTTTTTTCAACATTTCCAAGACTAGATAATAATTTAATCAATGATGGATATTCTCTAAAAACTGTTGAATAATGAGTTTGAGAATCTGTGTGAACCCTTCAGGTTTCCTGACAAGATTGAATGTTTAAAACTTGAAAGGAGAACTGATTAAAGCTGAGTAGTTTGTCGTCTCTTTATTCCTGGTAAGTTTTCTAACTGATATATTTAGAGTTCTACAGGGTGTTTCTGTAAGGAACCGTATTTTTCATTTCTAATCTAGGAAAGTTGGCCTACAGGGTGTTACCATAAACTTTCATATTCTTCTTTTAATATTCTATTAATCTCTGCCCACCAATATTTTTTTTTCTCGAGTACACAAAAAGATCAAATTACAACTGTGTTAAAGGATCATTTGGAAAATTGCATTTTTTTTTGACAAATATTTTGTTTTGGGTATTAACGCCTAAAGAAACAAACGTTCCACGTATTCTGATCTTATTATGTCAAGCATAGCTAGATTAATTATTATGTCAAGCATATCTAGATTAATTTTTATGTCAAGTTTATCTAGTTTAATTTTTATGTCAATCATATCTAGATTAACTTTTATGTCAAGCATATCTAGTTTAATTTTTATGTCAAGCATATCTAGATTAATTTTTATGTCAAGCATATCTGGATTACCTTTATGTCAAGCATATCTAGTTTAATTTTTATGTCAAGTATATCTAGATTAATTTTTATGTCCAGTATATCTAGATTTATTTTTACGTCAAGTATATGAAAAATATGAAAAATACAAATTCCTGAAAAGGGTTTAATAAATATTATTCTACAGTTTTATACGGAACTCGACAAATTTTCCACAAAATGGATATTTTTAATCTTTAAATCTTTGCAACCTGATATCGTAGATCTTGACTAGTCAAAGATTGAAGTAGCAAAGGTTTATACCACCGTCCTCAAGGTTACAAATTAACCGATATTTGAAAACTAAAGTTTCTGCTACTTTGTTAAAAAAAAGATTTTTGTAAGCGCACAGAAAATTTTAATGTCCTAGCCTCAACAAAAAAGTGTTATAAGCACGAGAAGCTTGGATATATAATCCTCAACATTTGATTAAATGCAATAATATTATAATGTCTGTCTGATTCATATACCCATACAGGCATATTTATTTGTTTAACGGTATTTTTGTTATCTTTATATTATATATAATCTAGACAGTTGTATTTAATAATATATATTGATCTATAGTCCCATAGATTAAAAACAATTTAGAGGTTTTCATTCACAAAAACCCTGAGGCAGAAGCCCAAAGAAGTTCCGCGCAGACAGCATTGAATTTCAAGACAGAGAGAGAGCATGCCCTGCCTGCGCGGAACTACTTTGGGCTTCTTGTTTAGGGTTTTTGTGAACGAAATACCCCTAAACCTTGAGAAGATGCCATATAGTGTTCTATCTGTGTTGTTATTATTCTATACTATTATTCGTATAAACCTGCACCCTAACAATATATTTATAATTCTCCCAATATTATTTTCAAATTTTAGCCCGTAAATCGAGGAAAAAGAAAGCAAAGATAAAGGAATTGAGTCTTTGCCACAAACTCTTATTTTCTAATCCCTCTATCTTTGCAACCCCATGTCGTAAACCTTAGATATTTCTAACTATAAATTATGATACATTAAATAATGTAAGTTTGAAATATCACAGGTTTACACTATCAGGTTGCAACGATAAAGGGATTAGAAAATCTGAGTTTGGGGCAAACACTCAATTTTCTTTTATCTATTTTTAATTAATTATATTTATATTAACATGTAATATATATTCATATTTGCATTATTTTATTTCTATTGATCAAGGATCATCACGATTCAGATAAAAGGAAAAGTGTATATGGATTGTGGAGGGTTGAGGGGGGGGGGTAGGAGACGGGGGGGGGGCACCAATTTTCCAACTGTCCAACAAATTAAATTTTAAAACTTTGTTTCTGTAATAAGGAAAAAGCACCACACAATTTGGTTATTAACGGGACTGTATAGATATAATTTTAACTCGAATGCCCGATTCACAACGGTACCCTTAAATATTTATAAATGATCAATAGATCCATGTGTCCCACCTTAAAAAACTGATTTTTTTCAATTGTGTTTTTCTTCAAAAGGGACTTGCGCAGCAGCACAGCAGAAACATATTGGTAAAATTTCCAGAATTGAACACTTGTTAACGATAGTATAACGATATCTTCCAGATTATTGTATTGTAAACTCGGCTTACTCCTCTTTAAATATAGGATCAATTACTACAGCAGTCCCTTTAATCGACCAATTAACGAATTAAACAAATAACTTCTTATTGAAAAATTTGAAAATTGAAAGATATGAAATAAAACTAGTTTAGTTATGAAGGTTTTAAATAATACAAACTATGCTTTCAAATGAAATTTTTCTGTAGAAATTCTGTTAAATTTAGTTTCGTACCTTGAATTTAATGAATTTATACCTTCTACTGGGAAATCTAAAGTAATCTAAATAAAACAGTCAAACTCCTTTACATTAGAATTAGCCCTAAGAAAAGGTAGAGCAGATGAAGAAAATTACATGAAATATAAGGAATAAAAGGAATGATAAATAAAACACGAAACTAACACAAGTGGAAGAAAACAAAGAATCTTAGAAAGCATTGTCACCAATTTAATAACATCACTAGGGCGAGATCTACGTAGTTCAACCACTTTTCTTGTGCGTCGGATCAAGTTCAAGAGAAGTGGTTCAACTTAGTCTACGTATTTCCACTGATTCATTAAAGTAATTAAGTTTTCGCAACCCAATGTCGTAGATCTTAGATATTTCAAACTATAAATTCTGTAAGATCCAAGATTGAAATATTAAAATTTTACACCATCAGGTTGTAAAGATGTAGGGATTTGAAAATTTGAGTTTGTGACAAAGCCTCAATTCCTTTGGTATCCTGAAAACAATATTTTAAAATTTATCATGTTCTGATATTATATACTGAATAGATGTATCTTGTTTATATACTCTAGAGTGTACATCCCAGTATAATATTACAGAAATACTAGATTTAGGATTTAAAGTAAATTGGCTTTTTAAGAGTAAATAAATAGTTATTTTATTATGGAATGGGGGGGTAGGTAAATAAATAGTTATTTTTTAAGGAATGGGAGGGATGGATGACGTTTAAGCAAAATCATGAGGTAAAAAGATTTTTTTAAAGAAAAGTGGACAGAAAAAATGAAATGTAACAGTAATCGAGGAAAGACGAAAAACAGCCAAAAAGGAAAAATTATGGATTGTAAAAATATATTCAGGGTTTGATTAAAATATGTTAATTTGTTTTAGCTGAAATTATAAAAAATTCCATAATAAAGAACTAACATATCTCAAACTATTATAGATAATTTGAAATATATGTTACACAGCTGAGTTTAAGTCTTAAATATAATTATAAACTTCTAAATGTAGAACAAACTAGTTAGGTTGGGATAATGTGTGGCAAATTATATCAATTTGTTTTTAGAAAACTAAACTAAGATTCTGTCCTAAACTACAATCATCTAATATTTAATATTTTTAGTATTTTAAAATCATGAAGCATAATATCTATTCGTAAAATCAAAACACGCTAAAATAATTAATGTTTAAAAGAGCAAATAAGAAGTAAACCAGGTGTGTGCAATATATGAAAATAAACAAAATTGCACGTATGTAATGTAAAAATATGACTTTAATTAAAACTCCGCTTTTTAAAAGCTTTTGAGAATAATAAAAATGTTCTGAGTTTCTATTTTGTAATTGGATAACTTTGCTTTTCTGGCACTTTTCTTGTTTTTTATTATTCTTTACTTTTCTTACACTGAATAAAATCAACACTATAGTCTCAAAGTTGTAGAACTAATGTTGTATAAATTTAACCTTATCCTTTAGCTAGTTCTCATGGTTGCAATGTAATAATATAAGATCACAGGGTCATACCTAATTTCACGCATATACAGAAATTGAACTCTAGCCACAAAATTATAATTGCATTCTGATGATATTATGTAAATATTCAAATTTGGTTTCTTATCGTTGTAAGAAACTTAAAATAAACCATTTTCTTTCATCATTTTGCATTATATTTCCTGGACCAATATTTCATGTAAAATCATTAAATTATCAAATATTTCAAATATAGATTTTGAATATTTAAACAGTTAAATATTTAAGTTCCGCATTTCCCTAGCTCTGAAGGTAGTACAGGGTAAAGGATGAGACAATTGTACAGAATTAATTTATTCCGCTTTCTTACATTCAGGGTTCCTTGTAGGCCAAAACGTGTTTATTTCTGTGATTAATATTTCGTAAACCATAAAATTACCCAATGGAATGCAGAAAGCAAAAATCAAGCCTCAAATTGTCATATTTTTTAGAATTTTGGGGTCGTCTTTACAGTTCATCCGTTGGATTTCAAATATACGAGGTTTTGATTTTTAGGGAACTAGCTGTATTTGCTCCCGCTTTTTACCCGTGCTTGGTCTGAAATTACGAATTTAGCTATTTTTCACTAAAAGAATCTATAGATTCTATAAGAATCTCAAATACAAACAGAGATAACAACTTTTATGTATATAGATATTGGAGCATGGATTTTAGATCATCTTCTTTTTTATGAAAACTATTGTGGACTTTATCATGCATGTCCAGTTTATGCTTAATTTCATTATATCAGTGAAATTAAATAATCAGCGTGCTATAATGTTAAAGAAATTGAGGTTTTCCCGCAAACTGAAATGGTCCGATCCATATATCTTAGCAACCCGGTGGTGTACGCCTATGATTGATGATTTGAAAAAAGATGAGTCTACAACGTTCTGTTTCAAAAATATAGAGAATAGAAAATTTGAGTTTGTGGCAAAGACTCAGTTCCTTAGCTGTACATTTAGCTGCTAATTATAATTTATAATAATAAAACTTTAGAACCGAAATAAACTTTATAGCATAATATTTAACGCGTTATAGCATCAAAATATTACCAAACTTAATGAAGTGCCCGGCGTTCCCCGTGGAATTTTAGAAACAATTGAAATTCTTAAAGAATTTTAAAGAAATTTTAAATTTTTGAAAGAAAATAATTTTGATTTAAGAAAAAACATTTGTTCTGGTTTAGCTAACAATATGTACAAGTATATACATAT